ATTTCATTTCTTTGAGGGTTATTTTTTGTATTGGAAGGTTAATGATTTTCCTGCTGTGCCTGTATTTGTGTACCTATTAATCTTGTCATGATTCAGCATTGACTTTTGGCTATAGATGTTGACATCTACATGGACCAGCTACGCTAAATTTGTATTCCAATGGAACATTATTGTTGAATAAGGATGTACTGCTATAACAACTAAAGACTCTGATACATCATTCTTATCAAAATTTTCACTTGAATGTTAAATTAGTTGAGGATCTTTATTGTCACGAAATGTCAATGTGACTTTAATGAAAGGACGATGTAGACTGTGACAAATAAACTCACCCAACCACAGTTCCTGGATGCCAACCCTTTTTATTGGAAATGATCAACTACTTAAAAGTACAGTGGCACTTGTTATATATTTTCTTTGTTCCAAATATGTTGATGGGTATTTAGATTTTATTTGAAATAATTTATAAATAAAAATACTTTTTAAAAATAACACCTTTTTAAACGCACTAAAAAGTATAAAATAATTTATAAAATGTTGAGAGAATAAATACTTGTAAGATTTAAACCGAAAAACGTGGGGCGCATGCTGATTTACAATTAACTTCACCTATTGAACTATTATGATCTATTGCATGCGCCCCACGTTTTTCGTTTTAAATCTTACAAGTATTTATTCTCTCAACATTTTATAAATTATTTTATACTTTTTAGTGCATTTAAAAACGTGTTATTTTTTAAAAGTATTTTTATTTATAAATTATTATCTAGTTTTTAGTCTTTAATGTGTAAATAATATGTTAAATCTATTTTATATAGCCTCTTAATGCATAACAAAAACCCAAAACCTTATTATCTGTAATCAGATGTTTTATCTTTACTTTGAAATGATTGTTTTATATTTTTAGAATATCTCGGGAGCGGAACCTGTATCTATTAACCTCTGCTCTTCTAACTTTCAAATTTAAGTATTTACATATTTACAGCTGACTTAAATTAATTTATATGTTTACATTCTTTTAAAATGTAAACATGGAAAATTTGGAAGCCAAAGGGGCGTAGCCCAAGGGAAATATGAAAATTAAATGATATAATATTGCATTGTCATCCATTTGTGTGCTATGTTTCAAGTTTCAAGTCTCTAGCTCATCGGAAACTTCGTTTAAAATTGATATCAAAATTTGAAGGAAAGCGAGCTAATAAAAACAAGCCCTTGGGGCGTAGTCCAAGGGAAATATGAAAATTAAATGATATAATATTGCATTGTCATCCATTTATGAGCTATGTTTCAAATTTCAGGTCTCTAGCTCATCGGGAAGTATCAAAATTTGCAAGAAAGCGATTTAATAAAAACAAGCCCATGGGGCGTAGCCCAAGGGAAATATGAAAATTAAATGATATAACATTGCATTGTCTTCCATTTGTGAGCTATGTTTCAAGTTTCAAGTCTCTAGCTCGTCGGGAAGTTAGTATAAAATTGATTTCAAAATTTGTACCGGACAAGAAAGCGAGCTAATAAAAATGTTTTAAAATACTAGGATGGGAGAATCCATTGATATTTGTATAGAAATTCCCTAAGTAAAGGCAGAAATCCCGTTAACCAAAGTGCAAGACATAACAATTACTAGTAAGCAAAGCTGGTAATTAAAATTTTAAAATCCAATGAAAAATAAATATAAATATTCCAAATCATTCATTACAATTAGTTTTTAAAACTGCAGTAAGAATTTTAAACCATCATTTGGTTTTTATATTAAAGAAATTCTCTTAAGGGGTACCTGATTTTGACTTATATAAAAAATATTAGGAAAGTAATATTTTTGGTTTTGTTCATTATATTTACTTTAAAGGTAAGTTACGTGTCCAAAGCAGCAGCAAACGATTAATTTTATCACAAGATATGTTTAAGGAACAAATTTACTTGACATTTGATATGAAACCTATTGACATCAGTTACATTCTGGCTGGCTTATCAAAGCTGATGATTTACACGTCATACACATGTCAGTTCATACCATGAACATTTAATCTTTCACATCCTCTGCATACCTAAACTTGTGTTTGACAGATTTATGCTCTTCATGTCAGAACTGTGGCGAGGTAGCTAGATAATTACACAGAAACAATATTTTCTTGGGCCCAAATACCAAAAAGGGTCTTACAGTACTATACTTTTATTTTTAAATCAGTTTTTTAAAGAGTTTTTTCTGGTGTGGCTGTTTAGAGCAGTGGCGTTGCTTGGTTAAATTCCAGGGGGGGGGGGGAAGAGCCCCAAATTTCCCAACTGCTTAACATAGATTTCCCAACTATTTTTTTTTTAGAAATCTATTTCTGTACTATTTTTAAAAATCTACAAATTATTATACTACACTGCAGTCACACTCAATTCAGTATTTATAAACTTGCATTACCAAAACATAGCTAGTTTTACATATATACAAAATTACTCAATTTCTAAAACTTCTACCAATTCATAATGAAATTTTATGACTTAAAAAAACTTGAACAAAGAATGTTTCAAATCCAAAAAACTTAACAAACCATTGTGGTAGCAGACGTAGCAGTGTAAAATTTTAGGGATATAAAATAAGCGTAGTACAAATTAGTATAGAAAAAATATTTTATTACAAAATAAAGAAATTAAAATACTTTTAGAAGTTAAGATCAACATTTTAACTTTCATAAAACTTACAACTAGGGTAGGCCTAAACAAGTTTGTAATGATGAAATATTAATATCAGTGTTGTGAATAATATTATTCTAGTCTAGAAAAGAATAAACCTAAAATAAGACTCGTATAAAATAAAAACGTTCAACTTGGTTGATAATAAACTTATACATACAATAAAAATTTTAACCTTCATCTTCATCAAACTAGAACTTAGACAAAAATCAAACTTAGAGTGAAAGTCAAACATCAAATTTTAGGATATGTTTTGTCCACGTAGATCTGTTTCAAAGCGATTAGTTGATTCATTTATGTAAATCCTTAATTAGGAATGATAAATAACTTGTGTAGATTTTTTTAAATATATTCAGAGAATAAATATTTCATTTAGGTTATTAAAAAATAAGAGTTTTAAAGGTAATACCGATACACAAAACCTATCTTTAATGTTATTTTAATCTGCTTATTAGCAAGTACTCCGGTCAGTTAGCCTGCTCCAAATACCACAAAAAAAGGTATAAAATATATTTCATGTGACTAACGTGAAAAATATTTTTGAATTTCTTGTAAACACTAACAAACAACTTAATTGAACTGAAGAGCTACATCGCTTGCACTTTCAAAATTCAAACTCGCAGTCTCGCAGATGAATCATTCAGAATCATCAACACGGGGCAGGATCAAGGTAGCCAACGTACGTCCAATAAGGAACAAAATTTCTCGTAAACGAAATTCCAACAAGCTATACCGCTAATTGATTATTGATTTCTTAAAATAAGGCATGTTTAGCCATGGTTTAACCTTGTTTAATCAAAGTTGATTAAACAAGAGATCATTCTCAAGTTATAACAAAGTAATGTTTATAATTACCAGGAAAAAGAGCGACACAGAAGTTGAACATTTTTGAGAGAACCACCCACAAGACCTCTCACAGACAGACTACAGTTAGAACACACTGCCCTTGCCCAGTCACTGAGACTAACTAGCCAGTGGCGGCACATGATAGCACACACGCTGCAGTTTTGTTATTCAATTTGGACTGTAATTAAATTGATCACCAACCGTGGACAGTAAACGAATAAACTAGGAAAACTGAAATTCCTATTATAATACCTACCTAAAAAAATATTTAATTTAACTGGTTTCAGTTATTAGTCAATTATTATTAACTTTTACAATTAAATACATTTGGTTGATCATAAGAAGACATAACGAAGTAAGCGATACTCTTGGAAGTTTGGTGGAGGAAGCTGTGTTCAAGAACCAATGATCTCTGAGTAAGGGTCATTAGATGCTGCAGCACTGAAAGCAGACTTGGCTTGTAGGGGTGTATGGGAGGTTCAGTTGGAGGCATTATTTGATGTACGTGTCGTTGACATTGATGCTCCATCGTACTTGAACATCCCATATTATAAAGTATTGGAGAATGCTGAAAGAGAGAAGAAAAGAAAATACTTGACACTAACAGAATCAAGAGATGCTTCTTTCACCCCACTAGTCACTTCTATAGACGAAATTCTAGGCAAGGAGTCCCAGACTTTGCTCAGGGCAATGGCAGAACGACTAACAGAAAAATGGAAAAAACCTTACAGTGTGGTGATGAGCTGGATAAGGGTAAAAACCACCTGGGCGACATTAAGGGCCAGCATCATGTGTCTAAGGAGAATAAGAAAGAAGTGGAGGACCCTTAGAGAATTTGAAGAAGGGGCTGGAGTACCAGCATTTTATTAATTTAAATAGCATTGTTTATTTTTGTATGTTAACTGATTGATTTATAATCAATTTCTTTTATTACTTTTTCACTTTTGAAAACTGCTAAACACAATCAACTATCATATTTGTTCCTAGATGTTTTTTTCTTCCTAAAATCTTCCCATGTATTTATTCACTAAAGATTTTTTCACTTAAGAGTTTTTGTCTGCATACTGTCTACTTATTTTCTATTGATCTTTAGTGTAATCTCTGTTTTGTTATTCTTTCCCATATTTTAATAATATGCTAAATAGGAAGTTAACTCCATAAAAGTTAAAATATTTTTTGTCAATGTTGTATTAACTTTATAGTAGCCTAACATACTTTCACAAAAATTAGCAATGAATTTTGTTGTGATGAACAAATAACTTTTACCAACCTAGTAAAAGCTAGTATATCACCTGAAAAAAAAAACAGCACTAAAATAAGGAGCATTTGACACTAAACAATTCCAGGTATTTTAAACTTTTGTTTGGATTAGTTTATCTACTTAAGATGCAGGTAAAAACATATCTGTTCAGCTCTTATTTCTTCTGGTTCCAACCATTATAAAACCAATTCAGGGGGTAATGACGAGTGTTTCACATGTATGAAAGATAACACTCACGAGTGGCAGAATTGGAGTGAGTGAGTGTCTTAGGTGAGTCACCAGAAGAAACAGTCTTCTCTAGCCGTGATGTGACGTTCTCTAACCTGGTCAATAGAGAGTTGAGCTCAACGGCAGGGGAGAGAGGGTTGTCCTGGCCTGTCAAACAAACACAATAATTGTACTGGCTGGAAATCACCCATATATAATATAAATACCAAATACTGTGATTGAAATTGTAGTTCGGTATAGAGACTAATGAATAGTAAAATACCCCCGCTGCAGCAAACCTGCAGACTTAGCGAATTTCCATTTGCCTGATTGGATTTAAACTAAAATGTCTCCTTAAAAATATCACATTTAGCCTATTCCCTGTTTAAACAGAATTACTGTAGTTTAATGAGTACTTAGGTTTGCTGCAACAGGGAGGGTAAAATGTTTTTTTTAATGTAAAATGTTAAAAGGTACTGTGGTTTAGTAAGAAATTAATGTATTTTCCAAATTTGATCAAAATATGTTCATAAACAAGCAAACTACAACAGTTGACTTATTCTCCATAAGAATAACATGAGAATTTTAAAATTACAATTTTTTTGAATTTTCTCCGTAACAATTAGGCGCATAATAACGCTTTAATATACTAAATTATTTGTTTTTTTTAAGCTCTACAAAATGGTTTAAAAAGAAATTGTGAAATTTTGTGTTTTTACGGTCAAAATGGGAAAAACCTATTTTTACCCCATAAAACCCTCCATAAACCCCCGTTCCCATAGTCCGATCATGCTGGTTCGCGAACTCATTCAAGTTTATCCCGCCTTACACCTTCAAACCAAATTTCATCAAAATCGGACAAAAATTACTCAAGTTATCGTGCGGATGGACACACATATATATATATATTAATAATTGGAAATATTATAACAACATTAAGTACCCTTTTAAATTCATTTTAATTAAGAAACCACATGTTTCGACACTTAGGTCATAGTCATGCTTTTTTACAAATACAATAACAGAGTAATGAAAAGAATAAATATAGTCATATGTTAAGCTAACTTAAAATTTAGAGGATCTTGATCTATTCTTTGTTTAATTTTGCGTATATTATATAATATTTCTGTTTTATTGCAATTGTAGGATTTTTTCGAATATCGGATTTGTTTTGTTGATGTTCATGGTGTTCAGTAAATTTTGAGGAAATCTTTTGTAATTTGTGTATATATGAAAATCTTCCTTGACATTTAATTTTGTTTTATTTCTTTCATATTCTAGAATTTCTAAATTTTCAATATAATATATTGAAAAAATATAAATGAAAATTATATATATATATATATATATATATATATATATAGATATATAAAAATTTGAACGAATGGTGTTTTTGGCCTCTGGGGACATCAAAATGAAAAAGTAAATCGGTCCCGGGCTTAGGTCTTACCATGAGACCTACGGTAATAGCTACTTCCCTATAGGGAAATTCGTTAAAAGATAAGCATTGGAACCACGGGGCAAGCCCAACAGGAAAAAAATCTTTCTTATTGTTTTGTTAAGGTGTGATGAGAGCATGAATCCCAAATTGTTGAGTTCTAAGGTGCTATAGAATGCGTTTTAATTCTAACTAAACGTTATGTAGGTCTACAGAAGAGTTAGATTACCAAAATATGATTATCTGATCTTCTGCATTATCCAACCCTCCTTAAGAAAGTCCAGTCTTAAGGAATTGTGTTATATTCCTGTTATTTCCTGTGTAGTGTGTACACTGTAGGAGATACATTTAGACAACCCTGTGTGCCAACCCTTATCTGTACTCAGAAGATATGCGCCAATATTTACACACCTGTACTGTCTGTTTTGGCATGGAACATTAAGCTTCTCATACCTGCATACCTCCCTTCTACAACTTAGTCTTAGTCGCAAACTAGCCTGAAGAAATGTGAAAAACAATCCCAGCGTCTTAGTAGAAACAAAATGAACAGATAGTAGGTAGTGGTTGAGTGAATGAGTGAATCGCTGTGTCTTTTTTTGACAGTTACAGTAGTGGTGTTTTTACTTTATCAGCTATTTTTAAATTCTATAATATGGTTGTGGCTTCAAAGCAGACAAATAGTGGTTCAACAGAAAACGAATTTATTTGATGACAAAACTTTGCTTGATGATCACCGAAGCTGGTTCAGGTTGGACAATCAAAGTTCTACTGCACACTGATAGAACCATCAATCATGATAACGCTTAAGTGAGTTAAATTTTTTTTATTTACAAACTTTCAAATTATTACGGTAAAATGAAATGGAACAATTTATTAAAACTACTGCTTTACTACTGGTAATACAAATAGGTATAAGCACGCTATGAAATTGTCCAAAAATTTAAGTCATCAATATCCAAACACTCAAGCTTGCTGGATGCTGGACAAAACTACACCTTAGCATGCTGCAAACTTTATGATACGATGATAATCAGTTCTAAAAGATATCTAAATGTAACGATGCAATCTTATTCCAGCTTTACGTATATGAGCAGTTGAAAATGTCACTTTTAATGTTCAAATGTTCAAATATATGTGCCTTACCTAATGGGTACAAACGCTCCTTTATTGGCTTTTGGGGATCAGCATTTGGGTTAATTGGGCTGTTAAAGACAATGTAGATAACTTTATTGGTGGTTAAATCAATTACCCAATGGATGTTTGTGAAGGGGTTTAATATGGTTTTATACAGGGTGTCCCGGAACTCTCTACCAATGTTTTAGGGCATTGTTCCTGGGTAAGAAACATATCTAAATATCATATTTAAATTGTCCGGAAGTCCTTAGTTACTCAGATAGCCGCCATTTTGTTTTTTCACTTATTAATTTTTTTCTGAAAATTGGTTAAACATACGAAGTTGAAACTTTGCACAAACATTTATGACAATTAGACAAAGCTACAAAAAAATTATGACGATTTTTCAAATTCATAAAACAAAATGGCGGCTGTTTAAATTTTGTTTCTTAAATTACTCGAAAACCGTTGATGTTACAAAAATTTTACAAGGATAACTTTTTTAAGGCAATTTTATTACAAATCGATCGACACCTTAATCTTTAAGAGTATTAACTGAGATATGACAGTTTTAGTGATACGTGACCGCCGGATATTAGTTGCAGCGCATGCTGAAAGCGGTCACGTATCACTAAAACTGCCATATCTCAGTTAATACTCGTCCAATCTTAAAGATTAAGGTGTCGATCGATTTGTAATAAAATTGCCTTAAAAAAGTTATTCTTGTAAAATTTTTGTAAAATCAACGGTTTTCGAGTAATTTAAGAAACAAAATTTTAAACAGCCGCCATTTTGTTTTATGAATTTGAAAAATCGTCATATTTTTTTTTGTAGCTTTGTCTAGTTGTTATAAATGTTTGTGCAAAGTTTCAACTTCGTATGTTTAACCAATCTTCAGAAAAAAATTAATAAGTGAAGAAAACAAAATGGCGGCTATCTGAGTAAATAAGGACTTCCGGACAATTTAAATATGATATTTAGATATGTTTCTTACCCAGGAACAATGCCCTAAAATATTGGTAGAGAGTTCCGGGACACCCTGTATATTATTGAAACTACTCTCATTGCAAAGAATTGTAAACTATCAATTTTAAGTCCCCAGCTCATTCGTATAGTACTAGAAAGAGAAATGAGGTTATCCTGCCACATAGATTAAAGTTTTTTAAAAAAAAACCAACCTACATAGGATATACTTTTCTTAAATATATTCCAGAAAACATAAGAAAAGAAAATAATTTAAATAAGTTCAGGAAATTGCTGAAAGAATATTTAATACAACTGGCCCCTTACTCCATAGAAGAATTTTCCACCTCCCAGATATAACCTACTGTAGATATAAATATTTTTGTTATTACTTTTCATTTTTGCTTGGTTAATTGTAAATAGTAGATTTTAATTAGATTTAGTATTGTATTATACAGGGTGAGTTTCTACTTAGCGTGTTAACTTCGCCAGTAGGTTCTACTCACTAAAAGGAACAAAAAAGGTCATATAAACCCATGTCCGGTTTTCAACAGTTTGGCTGTAATAGGGGATTTTGTGTTTTTCTTATTTTATTAGACTTTGCTCCACAATTTATGTAATAAAAACTTAACCAATAACTTTAGAGAGTTATAGTTAAAATCATTGGAAAGAATATTAAATTTGATATAAATTAAAGGTTTCATTCAACAATTATACCATTACATAGTCCACGTTATATCCAAAATAAAGTAAAAATGTCATTAAATTAATTAATTACGAAAATGTTCATGAGCCCACTTTGATACATAAACCTGCATTTATGCAATGTTGAAATGCATAAAAAACTTGGCCATTTAATAATCTTTCAAATGATATGCTATTCAATACTATTATTGATATAAACCAGTGAGAAATTACTAATAAACTACAATAAAACACGGTTTACAGATTTTGTTTTTGCACAGTTTTACTGTTGATAATAATTACTGTATACTCCATGTTGTATTTTATTAAACAATCTGATAAGATTTGTACATTATTTTAACTTTTAAATATTTATTTAAATTATCTGAATTAATAAAATGTATAAACTCAAGGTTTTTCACATTTTCAAAGATGTAGTGTGTTTGATTCTTAAATGCTGTATAATTAGTTTTACCTTGTGCTTGATTAAGTCAGCTTTTATTGATTTGTCATCTATAGCTAGATAGCTCAGCTGCTTAAACATACCTTGTTGAGTAATTTGCTGTTTTAACTTTATATTTCCAAGTTCCAAGTCAATTAAGAGTTTTTCAACATTTATTAAACTATGGAGCCTTTTACCAATCAAGAGTATGCCAACATGATGAATACAGTAATTATTATTAACAGTAAAAACTGTGTCAAAACAAAATCTGTAGGCCGTGTTTTATTGTAGTTTATTAGTAATTTCTCACTGGTTTATATCAATAATAGTATTGAATAGCATATCATTTGAAAGATTATTAAATGGCCAAGTTTTTTATGCATTTCAACATTGCAAAGATGAAGGTTTATGTATCAAAGTGGGCTCATGAAAATTATCGTAATTAATTAATTTAATGACATTTTTACTTTATTTTGGATATAACGTGGACTATGTAATGGTATAATTCTTAAATGAAACCTTTGATTT